CCTCGACACCAATCAACCAAACCTTCTGCCATTTCTCTTGTATCCTCCTACCACCAAGTATGGTATTGAAGAGACCAAACCACGAATGTAATGACGGTACGCCTCGTCGATGATCAGGCCTTATCCACAGATCGCATGGTGGAAGACTGATTGGCTGTTGGTCACAAATTCCCTCTACCGCTGCTCACGCATTCATATGTCCTTGAACTACCAACTGCATTCAACTGAATGATTGCCTGCCTTGAGCGTCATCTAAGGTCAGTGACAATGCGAAATGAGCCTTCATGGCTTGTGTGCACCAGGAACTCACGTCAGCAAAGTCGTGTCGGTGAATGTACAGCAGCATGTATTGCAAAGCTAAGCCAACACGACTGACATTATTGCAGAGAAGAATCGGTGCGGTCCGGGTGGGAGGTGTCAGATGTTGGACGAATCACATGATGTGATAAACTTTGCATTCGTTAAGCACCCCTACACAGTCAGCTCATTTCGTGATGTTGATTAACAAAGACCTACTCAATGCACGTTTATGTACTGATTCACTAGTACTTAGATTGCTCTTTCCAAGGGCCACAACAAAATTACCGGATTTAAAGTGACCCCTTCCCAGGCTTTTTAAGCTTACTCGTCATTACACGGGCCTCGTCAACACGGTTAATTCACAATTTCCCAAATGCATACAAAGACCACATTATAGGATTGTTAGTAGAAATTTATAGTCGAGTCTTGTAACTAGACTCGTTGCCTTGTTGTCATCATCATTTTCTTCGTTTTCAACCAACTTTTTACCATATTTCTTAGGTTCCTCGCCATTCTTTAATCTCAGCTTGTGTTTGATGACTGCCAGATTCCTGCCAATAGCGGCAATTCTTCGATCCAGGAGATCATTTCTAAAGAACGGTTCAATTCCACTTCATCTCTGCATTATCTGCTCCTTGTGTGCCTCGGTTTCACTTTTGCTGGAAGGCAACAAGTCCAAGCAAAACAAAGGTCGTGCGATAGCGGAAGTAGGTGCTGTCAGGTTCACACTTGAACCACCACCACGAAAGCCACGGGAGCAAGCGCGAGAAGGATGTAGGTCTTCATTATGCTGTTGTCCCTACAAGTGTCACAAACACACACAGAGAGAGGTCTGTCTGGGCCGCTGTGTGCCGAAGGAGCAGATAAACCAAAGAGGACAGCAACTTGGCTGATGAAATGTCAAGGCACTGCACCATCTCACCAAGCAGTCTTTCAGAACTTGTTTAAATTATCTATTTCCCTTATGTTGCACCCTAATGATTTTGATTTCTTCGAAAACCTGTCTACTTTCCGAAGTTAGGAAGCATTTTAACAATGAAGGTATTGTAATTAACCCAAGATTTGGCATTAACAATTTGCGCGTCGATTAAAATGAGATATTATGCAGTATTTTCGTCCTTGTTCCCTTTTGCCTTTTACCCAAGAGTGGGATGCTTGCAGTGTTAATCAT